CATGTCGCTATCTGTGAACCTTATTAATCCTTTCCGCAAGACCATCCGTCATATGCTGTAATTTGAAAGTCTTCTTGCGAAAATAACAGAAAGGGATTGTATAGTCCTTGTTTTAGTTCTAATCCGGTCATGTAATTCATCTATGCTTGCTTTTATTCTAGTCTTAACCAAACTACTTGGTAGCTGTAATAGTTTCCTATTAATAAAAGTAGTTGAACCTGAACGCCTACCAAGAAAACAAAATCTAGGTATTACATTATCTGAAATACAAATATTTAAAAATCGAAAAGTATGGACTTTTCTGAGGTAATCTCCTTCGATTCCGGTAAAAACGTGCTAAGTTTTCGTTCGTCATATGACAAACAGAGCATGCAACCAAATTCAAACTAACGAGTCAAAGCTCACCGGTTTATCCCTAAAAGGTTAAATATATACTCTATATCTGACCTCTTTGATGAGGTATAAAATGATCTGGTTAGTTACAATCATATAGCAAGCTCAATGCATGTGAGCGCGTCTGTATGTGTGCATTTATGTGCCTTCATGTGCTCGTATATGAACGAAACTAGAATTAATTGCCCAAAAAAAATTATAAGATAAAGTAATGTCTATTCTCGACTATCAAGGTTTGATGAACATCGTCACCATCCAACTTCAAATCCTCGCATGTAACTTTTATTCTCTTATGCAAGTGGTACTCCACGACTCGTTTTTTTGATTTGCTATACAAGGCCGGAGTATTTCACACAATTGCGCGAAGCCGCTCTGAGATCACTATATATATATATATATATATATAAGAGGAATTCGCCGTCGTCTTCTGGTGGAACCGACCTTCAAATCTCTTCACCCAACACTCGAAATGGAAGTAATCCCAACAAGTGCTACTTATCCAAAAAATTTCGTATTCAGTCACTAGTTAAAACTCAGAAGAAAGAAGCGAAACAACTTAGACGAAAGCTCATTTCGAAGGATCCGAGAGTACTTATTTGCACAAAGGTTTCTCGTAATTTCTGGACCATGAAAGATTTCATCTAATTAAATTCGTTTTGCAGTCCAGAAGTAGAATGTAAAAGTA